TTTTTACTTGACAAAAATATTCATAAGGAGTATAATGTAATGTACATTTTATTGAAAAAAACGAAGGTCTGTGAAACTTGACACTTGTGTGGCATTTTACAACAATCTTAAGATAAATATATAATTAGTGGATAAAAACCGAAAGAACTGCAGATGCTGTAAATCGGGAACAAAAACAAAGTTGCTGGAAAAACTCAGCAGGTCTGGCAACAGCTGTGAAGGAAAAAACAGAGTTAACGTTTCGGGAAGGGTCATCGGACCCGAAACATTAACTCTGCTTTTTCCTTCACAGATGCTGCCAGACCTGCTGAGCTTTTCCAGCAGCTTTGTTTTTGTTGTTGTTGTTGTTGTTGTATATAATTAGTGGGTAGTGTCCATTTTTCACCATTTTGAAATCCAATTTATCTAGGAACTGCCTGTCTGTTGAAATTTAAAATGTCCTTTGCAGGCAGTATGAGTTTGTGATTGACAAAAACTTAGGATCAGTCAAATAGAATGAAGTTCCTTCAGGAATTATGGCTTGACCTTTGTACACAATGCAATATTTTCCATTCTCTTAGCCTTGTTGCATTTATTTGAGCAAAATACTTTCTAATACGTATGAGCTCTATTCCCAGGATTAATTTGTGATTACCAGATATTGCTGATGTGATATTCAGCATGAATCATGCATGATACAGATGTAATTTATTCTCAGTAACCAGGGGTTCAACGTTGAAGTCAAACAGAACTACTCAATTTGTATGTACAGGTAGAAATCCTCCCAAGTTTAAATTTTTAAAAATCACTTGTTTTTACTTCTCTGGATAGAAATATAATTTGTTGCTTTTGAATTTTTAAGTCACTTGTCAGATAGAGGAGTAAAAATATAAATTAATAAACTATATATATCACATGGAAAATAATTTGTATTTATATTAAAATGGCTGAGGAAATATAAATATAAATAATAAATAAGTGTAATCTAGCTTTGGCTGAAGAATAATTAATGGCTAAGAATATAATAACTGAATACACAGGCTGAAAATTATTCTGAAAAATTAAAAACTTATCTCTTTTATTTGCTGACTTATCATTGCTGTCTTTGTACGAGTGAAGGTTTGTGTTGCATTCTGGACACTAAGAAGCTGTAATGATAAATATTATGGTACAGATGTCAGTTTTAATCAAAGTTGCGGTTTCTAACTCCAAACTCTACCAGTAAAAGTTCGAAATGAAAGTGGAGGGTTTGTTTTTATTTCCAGACTGAAAGGTGGTTTGCTATAGCGCCCATCAGAAAGGTCAGTTTTTAGACTATATACTTTGCAATTTATATGCGTGACCTTGACTCAGTTGTCAGAAACAGCAGATGTAACACTTTGCAAAGTTGTAGATAAAGATCAGGAAAATTGGTAAGCTTCAGGATGAAATAGAAATGGAGAAACTGATAGAAGCATTGCAGCTGGAATTTACCGTGAACAGATTTTAAGTAATGCATTTCAGGTGAACTAAATGGCAAGGCTATATACAATAAATTGCATGAATTTGTAAAATATGGAGGAGCAGAGAGGCCTTAGTGTGCATACATGGTGGTAGGACAAGTATTTATAACAAGGGTATATGGTTTTCTTGGTTTGTAAATCAAAAAATATGATATAAAAGTAACAAGCTTATTCTAGAACTTTACAAATTACTGATTACTGTTCAGCTGGACTATTGCGGTTCATTTGAAACCAGAATTTATTAAAGATATAAAAAGCATTAGAAAGGTTACATGGAAAGTTTATCCCAAATGTTACAATGGATGGCAGACTTCAGTTATGAGGAGTGGTTGCAAATTTTTGTGCTATCTCCTTGAAATAGAGAAGTTTAACAGCTGACATAATTAATAAGGGTAAATAAAGAAACTATATTCTCTTTGGCAGATAGGTCAATGTCCAGAAGTGATAGGCAACAAAGTGGAAAACCTTGGCCTAAGCGATGGGAGCAGGCATGTTCAGTGGCCACTGACATCCTCTCCCTCCAACAATAAAGCTCACCAAATCAAGGTTCAATTAATATCAATGGAAACTTAGCAAATAGGAGCAGGAGTAGGCCATTTGGCCATTCAAGCCTTCTCTACCATTCAGTACAATCATGACTGATCATCACCTTGTTCCCACTTTCTTCCCAGACCCTTTGATCCCTTTAGCACTAAGAACTATATCTAACTCATTCCTGAAAGTATTCAATATTTTGGCCTCAAACACTTGCTGTCGCAGAGAACAATTAGCTTGTCAAGAGCTGACTGGTGAACCTCTCAGCGAATCACAGATTGCGCCATTAGAGACCCACCTTGTTACGTTAGCCATGATCTTCTGGATCTCAAAGTTCACTGCATGAGGCCTTGGCCTGAAGGGGTCTAACAGCAAAGAAGGTAAGCCTTTTTCTTTCAAGTCTCACAGATTGGGTGTTGTGGGGAAATTGGACATTGGAGGCAACAGCAGAGGTTAGCTTTCAGCAGCCACTCACTTGAAGCCAGATTGCGTCAAATGGAGAGCACTCCTCTCCTCCACCCCGTCAAATCGAGGCAAGTTGGCCAACCAGTCACTTCTTTCTCATCTTCTGGAAAGGCAAGTAATCGGATGGGAGGCTGGTTGAAACTCTGAAGTGTTTGTTAATTGAACACTCAAAGGCATTCATTGATCGGGGTTCCAAAGGTGGACCTCCATGCCCTAAATGTTGCAATGGCAAAAAGTGAGCATGTATCTCTGCAGTGTCTACGTGCATTGTTATTCACCCTTGCCATCAGCCTCACCACCTCCAGGGAGGATAAGATTGCACCCATAGATTTAAAATCATTGACAAAAAAAATCTCGAGGGGGGCAAGTAAGCAGAAATTATTCTATTCACCATTGTTGGAATCTGGAATACTCAAACTGAAAAAATAGTGGAAGTTGATCCTATAAATACTTCAAAAAGAGACTTTAAAATATATGAACAGCTTAGAGCTGATTTGACAAGAAGTATGTGGAGTAAACATACTGCTCTTCCAGAGACCGAGCATTGACATGATAGGTTCAATAGCCTCCTGTATTGTAGGACTTTATAGACCTCTAAAACATCCATTTGTCTTACAACTTCCACTCAAACAACACCAATGAAGCACCATCCTTTCTGGTGTCCCTACAAATTAAATAGATTTTCAGAGCCATCTTAGACCTCAATGCATTCAAATACTCTCTTTGTTGATAAGCATGAAATGCAAGTTTTGTTTCTAACAGTTTTTTTTGAAATGGCAGTGGCTAACCTTTGTTCCGAAGTGTTTACTATGATTAGTGATAGCACAGAGGACTTTGTGTTTTGATGTGTTGAATGCCTGTTGTGATGTTTTCCCCTACCTTAATGCATTACTCAGTTGCTGTTGATGTACTGCCACATCTATTAAGACTCGTAAAACATTCAAATTTTATTAAGTGTATTTATCTAATATTTGCAATCTCCATAAAAGAGAACTCAACTTCAAGAAAACCTATCAAGAAAATGTGAAAATAAATGAAGTGTACTTTTCCTGGTTGTGAATTTTCTATTAAATGTCCAAGTTGGTACAGAACCAGTGCTGCAAGTTGAAGTTACAAAACCTGTAGTGGAAGTTACATTATTCCATAATTTATTTTTGTTTGAGTAGCATTTGGTAAATGTAAAACTGCCAAATGAATGCAATCATCCATCTGTTTTTACTCATACTGGAAGCTATTTATAAATTTTTACCTGAGCATGTTATAAGTTTGGGAGCATATTGGATGGAATAATTGTCAACATTTTGAACACAGAAAGATGGATGATAGTCTTAGAAGTATCAAGTGCTTTTAACTTAATCTGATAAATATAAAGAGATAAGTTTGCAGGTTCGCAACACCATGTAACAAAGTATTTTCCAATGAGGAATGCAGTTTGTCAAAAATCTGTACACCAATTGGTGACATATAAATAATAAATAATTTGATTTGTGGTTAGGAAAAAGGGCTTTTGCTACTCAAGTCAGGTACTTGTGCAAATAACTTTTAGTAAATAACCAGAAGGGGTGTAATCCATTGTGGGGCACCTACCCTTGTTTGGGCTTGCTTCATTGTTTTTTTGTAATTGAGTTGAGACAGAACCTATCAATATTTAAATTTACAACCAATACAGTACTACAGACAACATGGTCTATTTATTAAATTTGAAATGTGCTCTGAATTCAACACCAATAAGATCTTCAGACTGCACCCAAATTAACAGCATTCACGGAAATTGATCTTCAGCAGCAGTCCTCTGAGAGTATTCAATATTTAGCAAAGCATCCTTGCAGAAAGGCACAAATTCCACACTGTGAAACACTGCCTAATTCTAATATAAGCATCTTTAATCTGAACGTGACTAATGCAGAGTTTTATCTCCAAAAGTGCATTTTTTTGACCCTGACGCTTACATTTGGATGAAATTGATTCATGTTTTGAAACTTTGTGGAGTCCATATCCAGTATTGCTTTCCTTGTCTTCTGTTTCATTATCTGCAAATCCATACTTATTCCGTAATGTCACCGCTCTATTTCTCAGCTGTACTTCGGTCTTGGGAAATTGAAGTAATAAACTATGAAACCCTTAAGCTGTTGTTGCAAATTGGAATGGAAATGATTATAGTTTGCAGAAAAAAAATCAATTGGATTGCAAGCTTTATTTTATATATAAGGGGCTTGATATTACAACTTACCTGTGGGTAATTCCAAGAAATCAAGTAATAATTCTGGCTGAATCTGTTTATTTTATAAAATAAGTTATAAGGAAAACCAGCATTGATTGTGTTAGCCCATTTGCAAATGCATTTACATTGTCTAAAGCATTTATTAATTTTTTTTGTAAATTTCAACATTCCAGGTCTGACTCTATTCAGCTTGTTTAATGATGTGACTTCAAATTTTACCATTAAGAATATTTTATTTTCCTACATTTGCCTGATTGATCTTTTTTCTTTGTTTGTCTTTCTCTGTCTGGCTGCTCCAGGGGCTATGGCTAACCATCTAATAACCAATGCTCTTCTTCGTCCTCATGGCACTAACAATCCTTATAACACATTGCTTGGGGAATCAGCAATCTGTAACAACCCCTCAGTCAGCATGTACAACACACAAGGTGTGCTACTCCAAATGTTTCACTAAGCTATAGTGGCAATACCCCATCTCTGGTCTGTGGAGGCTGTATTCCAAAAGAATTAGATTGAAGAAGAATAATTCACAGCAAAATATTTGATCATTTCAATTTAATCCTTCTATTTCACAGTGGACAATGATCATCGGTTGTTGGGAACATTAATTTCTCACCAATTTTCAATTCATTTGTTTTGGCTGTAATTTGCTTCTTGCTTTGAAGCTAGAAAGCTGTCTCTCACCAGTTTACCATCAGTCAAACCTCATTTTAGAATGCAATTGTCTTAAATTTATCGTTTTCCACCACATTTTTCCAGCTCTTAATGGAAGCTGGGTCGAGCACTTATTATTTAAAGTATTTTGAAATGTTCCACTTGTTGTGGTAAGGAGGCTTGACTGCATATATTGTTACACATTTAACATGATCTTTTTACATTTGTTTTTGAACTTCTAGCCAAATTAGGTTTGGATGTAAGCAGAGGAAGCCAGTGGAAAATGTACCCTTTTGTAAATTAAAATAGCAGTAACTCTGATCATCTGGCTAGAATCTGTGCAGAGAGGTCATGAAAACTGCTGACAAAATGTTCAACAATATGTATGGTAACATTGGTGTGATGGGACTGAAATATTAGTCTTTAGATAGCTACAAATTTAGGTAGTTATTCAGTACAGCCTCTATAAGCCAAGCAAAGGGGTTTTATATTTTCCAATCCTTTCACCAGCACAGGTATTTAATCATCAGTCTTGTTCTACCTTTCCAATATTGATGTTTCATAAAAATATCAACAAAACCAGATTCAAACAGAGCTTCATAATTTTATTATTGACTTGATAACAATATGCCGGTGAAAGGATTGCCCTCTTTTTGAAACAGTTATATATGGGTGATTCTGATATGAGTAGGTCAAACACATTTGTTATCATTAAAATTGTGCTATTGTTTGTTTTCAGCTTAAAAACATTAAAATTAGCCACTTATTATGTGTAGTGAAGATGGGATTTGTTAGATATTTTCTGCATACCATCAATCTATTTGCTTTTATTCATGTTTCTTCTACTGTCGCTGTATGCTTACTTGTGTTTTTTCTTTCCTTTTCTTCATGCTGTCCTTTAGAGCCCTACAGAGAGACAAGTATGGGAGTAAAACTAAACATTGCATATCAAATGTAATTCTTTTAGTTACCATTCTCTTCCAGCCAAATCTAGGCGATAACTGTGGTATAACGAGAGTTGATCGACGAGATTTTTTTTTCAAAAAGTGCAGAAGTGTTTATAGATATATTTTTGTTAATGTTCCCATTAGCTTTGTTGAATCCCATTAAGTCTGGATAAGGCTAACTAGGAAGTTTCTGGAAGACAGTATTCTATTCTGCAGTGTTGCTCGTCACCTATTACCCCCAAATAACTGTCATTATTGATTGGTTGTAATCTGGTTTCCATCGTCACTGAATTATTTAATGACCAAAAACAATGAATTCTGCAAAGGGGATGTACAGAGTGGTTGAGATGTTTGAGATTTCAATTCATTTATTAAATGAAAAACATTTTGAAATACTTTACCCCTCAAGTTTTCTTGCCTTAACCTTGAGTGGAATATCCACAATGTGTCCACACACATCATTAAGTAAAGTTGAGATTTGCCACATAGCACAGTATTGTTCAGGACTAAAATGCACATAAATATAACATTCAAAGATCCCTCATAACATTAATTTTCTTTTCCTGAGAATGTGGACAATATATACACATACTTTAGACTTGGGTGGACCTAAATTGAAATGAAGCATCAGGTTACTGAAGTGAAAAATTTTACAATATTTTCTATCTATCCATGATGTGAGTACAGGCTAGAGTAAACTCATTCATATGATATTTATTTAATTCTTAATTAATTGCACTGAGTTCTGTGTTCAATACACATAGCCCAGCTGGTCCATAGAATTGTTTGACTAAGACTCCTGGAAAGCTTCTATGATGAAGGGAAGAGGGGCAAAATTTGGCCTTTCAAATTGAGTGGAATTACCTCTCTACTGGATAGATAAATGATTTAATTGAGGAAAATAACCCAATACAATTTATCTATCTCGATGGATTAACTCCTTATTGCATTGATCAAGAATGTGAAATACATTTTGAAGAAGTCCCACAGCAGCCCTTTACTGTCTAATAGTTGCAGCAGCCTTGAGCAGAAACTGCTTAATTTAGTAAATGATTTTGTTCCTTTTCATTTAAACTTAAAAATGTTTGCTTCTTCAGTTATACCAACTGGAACCATTTTGTGTACATTATTTTTTCCAAATGGATGGTCTTGCTCTTAATTGAGGATTTCATTTTTGTCAGTTAGCCCTGTTTGTAATTTTTTTTATGTATGTATATATGCACCATTGTGCTTTTTAAATTATCTGTGGTGTTTGTGTCCAGTTAGGTGTGCAACAACTCTTTGAAATCTGAGCAATCAATATAACCAGTTAAATTGAAAATAATCACTGATGTCCAGGTTTTGCCACTCAAAAAAAAACAGAAATTTGTCAAAAATCATGCAATACATATCCTTTGATTAGCATTTCTAATTACTAAGTCTTTTTTAACTAAATCACACAGCAAATATGGATTTGAGAATAACAATGACAATCATGCAACATTTGTTCTGCGTTAACCTAACTATACTTGATAGCATTTTGAGAAAGTCATGACAACCCAAAATTTCCTATTTATTTAAAAGCCACATCTATAAGACTTTATGTTTGGATCCTTTTTATAATCCACCACTTAATTGTTTTGCCCTATAATTTCAGTGATGAATATTGCAGTAAGCTTTTTCTAAATCTTTTTGCAGGCTGTGTACATCATTGGCTACATAGTTTTGCTAGTCTCTAATTGCCCTGAAGAAGATGGTGGCCATAGAGTCATGCAGCACGGAAGAGGCCCTTTGGTGCATTGAATCTGTGCTGACCTATTCACACTAAACCCACTTTCCACCACTTGGTCCATAGCCTTGAATCTTATACCATTTCAAGTGTTCGCCCATGTACTTTTTTAAAGCTTTGAGGCTTCCTGCCTCTACTACCCTCCCAGTCAGTGCATCCTGGATTCCAGCTTTTCACCCTCAAGCTGAAAAGAAAATCCCCGCCAAATCTCTTATCCTTCACCTTAAAATAATACACCCTTGTTATTGACACTTCAATTAAGAGGAAAACCACACAGGCCTATCCAGCCTGGCGTCAAATATAAAATACTCTGTCCCAGGCAACATCCTGGTGAATCTTCTCTGCATGCCCACCAGGGCAATTGTATACTCCCTATAGTGTGGTGATCCAAGCTGCACACAGTACTTGAGACAAGGCATGACCAATGTATTGTGCAGCTTCAATATAACCTCCTTGCTCTTATAACCTGTGCTGCAACTGATTAAGACAGTATCTCATATGCCACCTTAAACACCCTGTTAATCTTCCTGCCACCTTTAGGAATCTGTGGACAAGCACTCCAAGATTCCTCTATTCCTCTGAACTTCCTAGTGTCCTGTCAGTCATTGAGAACTCCCTTGTCTTGTTAGTTCTTCCAAAGTGCATACCTTATATTTATCAGGATTAAATTCCATCTTCTCCTGATCTGCCCATCTGAACAACCCATGTATATTATCCTGTCACCTAAGTCCTTTCTCCTCACTGTTAAGCAGCTGGCCAATCTTTGTGTCATTTGCAAATTTACTTATCATCCCCCACCCCCGCAACATTCCCATCTAATTTGTCACAGACAATAAGGGACTCAGCACTGATCCCTGTGATGCACAACTGGACAGTGACTTTCACAAACACCCTCTGTCCTACCACAAAGCCGATTTTGGATCCATCATGCCAAGTTACCCTGGATCCCATGTGCTTTTACCTTTATCAATCTCCCATGTGGGACCTTGTCAAAAGCTTTGCTAAAATTCATATAACCTCATGAAAACCTCATATAAACAATATCAACTGCCCTCATCTACAGATCTGATGACCTCCTTGAAAAATTCGATGAAATAGGCTGACATCCCTCTGACAATATTATGGTGACTATCCTTGTTCAGACCTCGCCTTTCCAAGTGAAAGTTAATTCTCACCTTCAGAATTTTCTGCATTAGTTCGCCTAGCACTGATGTGAGACTCACTGCTCTGTAATTCCCTGGTTTAGCCCTACCACCCTTCCTGAAAATTGGAATGGAATTAGCTGTCCACCTTGAGCCACCACCTTGAACCAATGCAGTCCATGTGGTATAGGACCGCCCACAATGCAGATAGGAGGGGAGTTCCAAGATTATGATTGAGCAAAAAGTGAAGGAATAGCAATAAAGATGCAAATCGAGATGGTGTGTGACTTGGAGGGAAACTTGGATGGGGTTGGTTTTCCCATGCATCTGCTCCCTTTTTATGCCTGTAGAGGTCACAGGTTTAGAAAGTGCTGTCTGAGTTGATGTATTAATATATAAGCTGCTAATTAATGGAGCTTCCCTCAAAAACCAAAATTAATCGTGGGACTTTGATATCTCAGTACGTCAGATAACCAGTGCAAAGACAATCTTGATATAATTTATAACATTAAATTTGCTTAATGGATTTCAGAAAAAGGATTGTCCCTATTGGTTGCCAATAGTTTTTTTTAGGAACAGAGGAACAGACTAGGTCTTCCAATTCCTTTAGCCTGTTCTGCCAAATAGATTATGACTTATCTGTGTCACAACTCCATTTTACCCATCTTAGCTCCACATTTCCTTTTCACCCCAACACAATTAAACTCTAATAAAAGTTCATTTTTGAACAACCACTCAAAGCAATTCATATGGGTTTTATAAGATAATATTTACAATCATGTAAGGAAACAGTAGGACAGGTAACCAAAAGTATGGTCAAGGAAGTAGATCAAGAGTAGTGTCTTAAAGGAGGAAAGTGAGATAGAGGGGTTTAGGGAGGAAAATTTAGAGTATAGCACTATGTTTAATGATGCACCACATAAAATATAGGGCACTCAAGAGGCCAGCATTAGAGAAGCACAGATATCTGGGAAGGTCGAGAAACGCTGAAAGAAATTCCAGAGAAGGGGGTGGGGGGTTGGGGTTAGAGTCATAGTGGTGTTTAAAAACAAGGATTTTAAAATGGAGATGTTGCTTAACCAGTGTAGGTCAGCAAGCACAATGATGAGTGGGACTTGGTTCAAGACATAGGCAGCTACAATTTGAACAACCTTAGGTTTGCAGAGGAGGGGGAAGCTCCAAATAACTCAAGCATCCACAACCTTTTAGGGAAAGAACTCAAAACTGTTTTTGCGGGAATAGGTATTTCCTTATTTACCTGCGATTTTATGATTATATCCCCCACTTTTCTTGATTCTCCTACCGGATGAAGTATATTTTCTGTAGCTATTCTGTGGGTCCAACATATTCTCATACTCCCCAATTGCATCATGAACACCATGAACAATGCTGTGAAGAAGTTACATTGTATTTAGAGTCCACTTTGTGTGCCATCCTTCTAACATTCTAATGAATTCATTAGAGCTTATATTGATTCCTGAAGCTTTGAAATGATTGTTGCACAATTACAATTTGAGTTTTAGCATACCTAGCCTGTTACCCGAGATGCTGTGATCTTCCTTTAATTCCCAGAAGAGGCCAAAAGCTGTAGTCATGATTAATGTGGTTCTTTGTCTTATCTTTCAGAGGTGTTGCTGAACAATGCGAGGGATACAAGTGTCATGGATACTCTACCACTGAATGGTAACCATGGCAACAGCTACAGTATTGCCAGTGGAGAATACCTGAGTGATTGTGTGCAAATTATTGACCGTGGGTACAACCACAATGAAACAGCCTTAGAGAAAAAGATCCTGAAAGAACTCACCTCCAACTACATCCCTTCCTATATGAACAACCACGAGCGCTCCAACGAACAGAACAGGAACCTCATGAACAAATTAGTGAACAACATTGGAAACAGCAGTGAAGACAATGCAGTCGTTCTCGATGATGCCACTTCATTTAACCACGAAGAAAGCCTAGGACTGGAACTCATTAGAGAGGAATCAGATGCCCCTTTGTTGCCACAAAGGGCGCATTCAGTAGAGAACCATCAGGCCCACCAGTATCCCAACCGAAGACGGATCCCTCAAGATCACAGTGAGAGCTTTTTTCCTTTGCTAACCAATGAGCACACAGAAGAACTGCAGTCACCCAACAGGGATTCTCTGTATACCAGCATGCCTGCTTTGGCAGGTGTGCCCGTGGCAGATGGTAGTGCTGCTCAGACCCAAAGCGCTCCTCCAGCAACTAAAAGTAGTGACGGTGATGATGTGTATTATAAAAGTATGCCGAATCTGGGCTCCAGGAACCATGAACAGCAACTTCATACTTACTACCAGCTAGGACGTGGAAGCAGTGATGGATTTATTGTTCCTCCCAACAAAGAAGGCTCCTCACCTGAAGCGAATTCAAAAGGACCATCACATTTGGTCACTAGTCTATAGGGGCAAAGACTAACCTGGATGGCTTGTTCTGGTTGCCCAGAACCAAGTGAAACAATGTGTGTATGCTTGAATCTAAATGCTGTTGATAAACTGCTGAACTACTTTGAAAAGTTTTATATTCAGACCCAACCTAGTGAGGCACTGCGTGGGAAGCAACTGATAAGGAAATAGTCTGTTTTAAGGCAAAAAAGAATTACTGAACTGATTGAGAGGGTTGGACGTGTACGTTGAAATGACATTCAGTTTTGCTTCCTTCAATAATGCTAAGTTTTTAGCCTTTTTTCTCTAGTGTCTATTTTCTTGAGGACTTCTAACTAAGGCTTGGTGTAAGTCAGTGCCAGCTATACTGGTGCAAGGGTATGGATTGCTTTCTTTTTTTTCCTTGTTTTTATTACCACTGTATATCAGTCGTGACTTTCTCACACAACTTAGATGCTGCAGTTTACCAAGCTGCAGAATTCCTACAATCATAAAGGAAACCTCTCCAATCTCCAAGAAAGGGAATTATTCAAATTATATGCTAGATACATACTTTATGTTTTGCTGTAATAATTCTGATTATAAAACTAATGACAAGAGAATTTTGAACTATTTCTATGTACAGACACTCAACATTGCACATATATTGTAGTATGCTTTTTTCCTCCAAACTTATGTCCCTGTTGATGTAGTGAACAAGACAGTTTTTGTTGTGCTGGTCTTGCAAGTTTTGTCTTGCTAGTAGGAGCAGTGTTTTTTTTCCATAAGTCTTTCTGTTGGGCTTTTCCCCCCAGACAGTTCCTGTGAAGATCACAGTTTATAAAGCTCATTTTATAGTGAGGTGATCACAAATACTACGAAAAAAAACGTTTTTTTAAAAAAACTGTTTTAGGTTTTTCTCACTGTGTACTTTGAAGTGAAGTCATGTTTTTTGCCAGCAAAAAAAAATTAAAAATTAGGATTTACAGCAGGTACTTTTTGTTTACAATGCACTATGTTATTCATAAATGTGATCAGCAATGAAAGTCCACAAAGGGAGCTAGGTACTCTTCTAGTCACCAAGGAGTCTTGGTAGAAAATAGTGGAACTCATGCATGTGGAAAAATAAAAAGTAGAAACATTTTTGTGTTAAATCTAGTCAAAGCACTAGGCACTTGTACCGTGGTGGTAAAAAATATTGACTTATTAAAATGAAAGTTATTTTGAAGTGAAAAAAGATGAACTCAATTTTTTTTCTTTCCTTCCCTCACAGGAAATTTATTTATTTGATAATTAGTTGATGTAGGCATCCCTTTAGTAATGATCTTAGCAGCACAATTTGTCTTTCCTTTTTTTTTAATTTATGATCCATTTTGTATGGTTTCCAAGTTGAATGACCTCATTACTAATATTTGTTGTAAAAGTGAATCTTGTTTGCCAACAAATAAATGACTGATTACAGATTTACAAAATCTGAGTTGACTTAAATGATTTTTGTTTCTGAATGGTCATCAGATTGAGCTCTTGCCTTATGGTTACCCAGCTAGCCGGTTGTCACCTGGAAGATTATCAGCAGTTGAAAAGAAATTATAACGAAATGATTGGCCTCATAATGCATTACCACTTGCACAAGGAAATGAGACAACTTTACAGCATTATCCTTACCATCTAATTAAGAGGCTAGCTTTAAGTGGATTCTACTTTTGCTTTCCAATTGTAGTTCCCTATCAATATTAGGCTATAACTTTTCTTTTGGCATGTCAGTTGCTACCTTTTATTGATATAACATTCGATATTTACCAATGAGATCAATGAGCTAATTCCATTTTCTTTAGTTTAAAGGCACCATTTCTATTCCAGTCTTCCATTCCTGACTGTTTCCCCACCTTTCTGTCTTCCAGAATCAACACTTCCAGCAACAAACCAGTTTGATAAGAATTGTCTCCTTTCATTGAATCGCTTAAATTTACAACACTGAACCAGGCACTCAGTTTACGTGGTCCATTCTATGTTTATGCCACACAAAAGCGTTCCAAATCAACAAATCCACAGTATAGCTGTGGTACTGCTCATGCAACTAAAGCTAAATACGGTAAATACTGGGAGCCTGAAATAAAAAGAGAAAAAACTGAAGTGACATATTTGGAGGTAGAACCAATTAACATTTCAGGTCAATGGCTTTTCAACAAAACCAGAAAAAGTTAGAGATAAGTTTTAAGAAAACAAAGGGAAGGAGGATGGTAAAACAATGGTAGGGGTGGTTAGGGGGAGTGTTATGATAAGTTGAGGGTAGGAGAGGTTAAGTGACAGATTTAGTACTCATTGTGCAAGGCACAAGAAATGGCAAATGTGTCAAGAAGTAGAGATGACTCCAAAGGAGATACGAATGGTGGAATTATGAGCAACTTCCATTCAAAAGCAAATGAAAAGGAGAAAATATAGAGAAATGAAGCAAAACCAGCAAAAATCAAGGAAACAGAATGGGCACAGAGATTGGTATCGCTCATTGTTGAGTTCAGCGTTGAGACTGTAAGGCTGTAAACTGTCCAATTGAAACATGAGACATCGTTCTTTGATGTGTCATTGAGGTTCGTTGGATTAGTGCAGGAGGTTAAGTATATAGATGAAAGAGTGGGAACAAGGAAGAGAATTAGAATGATAGTCAGAAGCTTGGAGCCATGCTTACAAAGTGCAAGGTGTTTGGTAAAGCATTCACCTGATTGGTGATTGGCCTCCAGAATGTGAAAGAGCTCACATTATGAGTAGTGACTGCAGTATACCAAATTAAAGGTACTAGCAATTCATTGTTTCACCTGGAAGGAGCATTTGTGCCCTCAGAATGTTAAAAGATGGTAGAGCAGATGCTGTATCTCCTGTATTTGTGAGGAAGAGTGCACTAAAGAAAGGAGGGGCAGTTGGGGCTACTGAGGAGTGAATGGGCGCAATGCTGTGTAGGTGCTGGATGATGATCCTTTGAACACAGGTTGGAAGCGCGAAGGTGAGGACAAGGGGAATCCTATTGTGGATCTGAATAGAATGAAAGGTTTCCTGCATTCCACAATTATTCCCAACACCCACTCCTCTTATAACACATTCTCATATGACCTTGCCCCTCCCACTGTCCAAAGCCCCAGATAATCCTTCCAAGTGAAACAGTGATTTACTTAGAATTCCTTTAATATATTGAATATATTTGCAGGCTCCTCTAAATTAGCATGACAGCTTTGCAGGACACCCAGTCACTTGTCATCTTAATTCTCTATCTTGCCCCCATCCTGATGTCTCTGCTCTTGGCTGTCTGTGGCATTTAAATGAAGATCATTTCAACTTATCTTTTAATTAGTCACTCTTCTGGACTGAACCTTCAAATCAATAATTTCAGATAGTAGCCTGTGCTCCGTTTTTGTTTCTTTATGCTTTCTGGGTTTTGATTTTTTTTCTCTCAATGTTTTGAGATTGCAGCTGCTCAACCTCCTGAAAGCATAGACCATGTTTGTGCCATTGCCAGAACCTTTGGCCTTCCATAGTGAATCTCTTTTTAATGCATTTTCTGACGCTCTCCATTTTCACTTGCTTAGAAATCGATCATACTTATAACATTTTCCATTTATTACTGAAAAATCATTGGCCTGAAAGATAGGATGGAATCATCTGCTATGAGATCCAAACGTGATAGTGGGACAAGACTAAGTCTTAACTTTCGTTCAAGACCAGCACAGCTCTTCATGTGTGATTACATAGTAATCAGATATTCTGGTATATTTGCATAAGAAGCATGATGAGGCTTGCAACATGGATAGAGTGGTAGTTACCTTTCACCATTATTTCACAGGACAAAGAACAGGGTGCCATATGTAAAGGGCAGCCAGAGAGACATTTATTATGTTCAAGCCAGGAGCATCCCTCTGGATTTTATTGGACATCTAATTCATTTCCACCACCCACCCATACCCAGCTATGAATGTCTTGGTGGAGCCATGTCTCATTGCAAGATCTGGTCCAGATCATCCAGGCAAAGCAGAAAGCCCTGTTTTCCAGCAGGACACCCTCCTGTCTGACCAAGGTTGCCTGGGAGGACGTTGCCGTGCAGGTTAGCAGCTGTGAGGTCCACAGCAGAACCTGGGAAGCAGTGTGGAAAGAGGATGAATGACCTGGTACCTTCCTCAAGGGTAACTGGTACTGTATAGTCACTGCAGAGTGGGACTCATTACAGCATCGGACAGCCTAAATGCGTGCAAACACATTTTCAGATAGGAATTTGGCCTGACAGTGTGGAAGCCACTATCTTTCATTATCTAAAAGATGTACCATTTGCAGGGCAGTGTGGGTCTCAATTGTTTAAAAGGGGTGGGCCAAGGAGCAAGAATGGTATTCGTGCTGATAAAGTGGCTATGAATCCGTTAGGGTGACATTGAATCGTAATTCCATCTGCAGGAAGAGTGCTCATAATGTCAGGGACAGGGGAAATAGACCGTGATTAGATGCTCAGCCATCTGGAGGACAGATGGACCAAGCCTGCATGGATAAGGAGTTTGGACTATCACAGGAATGCAGTGAGAATGGCTCCAGTCTGCTGCTGATCAAGGGACATATGGGACTAATGCCTGAAACATTGGTGAGAAAAGGGTTGGTGCATTACCATCAGCTAACACTTTTTATGCTTCACTGCAGGTTTCAGGAGTATGACCAAGAAGAGGAGGCTACCTTTCCCCAGCTCCATTTGACTACCACCTCAAGATGATGAAGGGTTAAAATCTTAGAGGAGGCATATTCATGCCATTCAGATGCACCCGCTATCAGCGTAAAGAAATTCACCTCAATGGGTACAGGACCTAGATTAGGCTCAAGGTCACACTCTGGTCAGCACATCTCAGACATGGGCCTGCAGCTCATGGAGAACATGAGCACTGAGGCCCCTGATATTCAGAGGACTGCTTCAAACCAGGCCATTCCTGAGCTTCAGTGCAAATGGCAAACCTCTGGAATCATCCATAAGAGACGGACAAGGGAACATCAAGCATTGGTTCAGATTGAGTGAAGGCACAATGAGTCGATTTATGTTCTGAATATTGCCGTAACTCCAAAATGCGAGTGCTTGGATTATTTTTATTCACTCACAGGATGCTAAATGAAAAGCCAAACCAGTATTTATTGCCCATCCCTAATTGCCCAGAGGGCAGTTAGGAGTTAGCCACATTACTGTGGGTCTGGAGTCACATATAATCCAGACCAAGTAAAGATGACTGATTTCCTTCCCTGAAGGACATTAGTGAACCAGATGGGTTTTTCCTGACAAGATTTCACAGTTATCATGAGATCCTTAATTCTAAATTCATTTTTATTGAATTTAAATTCCACCATATGCTATGGTGGGATTTGAATCCAGGTCCCCAGAACATTAGCTGAGAGTCTGTATTAATAGCCTAGCAACAATACCACTGGGCCATTGTATCCCCATACCACATGGAGAGGATAGCAAGTGTTCAAGTAGGACCTGGCCGGGACTCTGTAGCAGCAAGATATGTGCTTGGACCTGTGCGCCATTACTCTAGCCATGAGTGCAGTGAAGAAATAGCCAAGCAAGATGGGCTTGAGGCACCTCAATTTGGAAAGTGACAGAAATCCAAAAGCCCCAAACATGTTCTCTCGCATGAACTAAACGTAATCTTCCATCTTTACTCCAACCAGATTACTGTGTACTGGCAACAGATTTTCATATTAAAAATTTAGATGTCAAAATAAGTAAAATCAATCTCAATTATATCATAGTACAAGCTTGCCAAAATCTCTTCCCAAATAGTGACGCAAAGAGAAGAAGATCTGAGGCTAGCAGATTTTGGTTTAATTTTATAAGTATCAAATCTTATTTCCATAGATTTCAGAAAAGTTACATAAATGTGTCTAGTTTTTGATTTTGAAATACCTTAGATCCATGTTATATTCTGGATCTCTAGAAATGATGTTTTCTCTTGTGGTTGACCACAGAACACAGGGGCACTAGGTCAAAATGAAAGGTCGCTTTTTTAAGACAGAGATGATGAGAATTTCCTTTCTTTCAAAGGATGGTACCACTTTGCGACTCCCCACCTCAGCAACAGGTGAAAGCAAGGTTGTGAAATATTTTTAATTTGGAGGTAATTGTTTTTGTTAGGCAACAGAATCGAAGATTATCATGGGCAGATGAAAAATATGAAACTCGAAAAGGAAACAGATCTGCCATGATCTTATTGAGTGGTGAAGCAGTCTTGAGGTGCCAAATGTTGTACTTCTGCTTCTAATTCATATGTTCAAGAGGTATAAACATGACTGATTTTTCAGTCATGTTACTCATTGTTCACTTATAACACAATTTCAACCAGCACCTTAGAGTGTGCGTGCAAGTGTACAGATTTTTTTTATTTTAAAAGTGCTCATGTTTTTCTCTGAAATAATGAGGCTGTCAGTGGTGCCTCTAGTCATTCAGGTACTTTTT